CCGGGGACCACGTGGCCTCTCGTGAGCAGGGCGCAGCAGGGAGGGGTCCGGTGAAGGCTCTGTCCAGGGTCCAGTGTCTGTCTGGGTCCAGTGTCTGGGTGTGTTGTTTCTGCCTGCCCCAGGGGCCTCTCACCCTGTCCCTCCAGCTCGTGCAGACTGCCCTCCATCCTGAGTCAGGGGTCCCACAGTAGCCTCCAGCTGGCGAGTGCTGGGCACTCTGGACCGCCTCCCACCCAGCACTTCCGTCCGGGGCTCTGGGGCCCCCGAGCCCCTCCTCTCTTGGCCCTACCCGGATGGGGCTGCAAGGGGGGTGAGCACTCCCTCCGCCCACGTGGGCCACACCGAGACACCGACCCCCGGACCATGCGGTGCTGAGAGGGTCCCTGGGGCCGCTGGCCTGGTTGGTGCTCCCCCATCCTCAAAGGCCTGGGATGTCCGTGTAGTTGGGGCCAGCTCTTGCCTGCCCGCGTGACACCGAGCGCAGCCAAGGACACGGGCGGGCAGGGTGTGTCTGCAGAGCCTCCCGGCTGCCCCCCTGCCAGCCCTGCGTCCTCTGCTCCCTGCTTGGGGCTGAGGACTCCTCCTCCGCATACAAAGTGTGCACATGGAACCCTCTCAGGGCCTGCTCTGCCCGCCTCCGCCCTGCACCGCGTCCTCCAGGCCTCGTGTTGCTCCTACCAGACTCTGGCCCCCACATCTGTCGTCCCTCTGTCACCCAGGGGCCCTCAGGGTGTGCGGGGCTCTCCCACTCATCTGGCCACGGCGTGGTATCCGGCGACCAGACAATTAGAAGTCCCTGGGTGGGGGAAGAGGGTTCCAGGAGCGGGTGGCTTTGCACAACCAGACCGGCCCTGCCACGTGGCCACTGACAAGGACACTGTGGGGCTACCTGAGGGTCCTGGGAGTCCAGGTGACGCCGGTCCTTCAGCGGCTGCCTGTCCTGGGGTCCCTTCAGGGTTGGGGCTGGGTGCACATGTGTCAGAGGGCCAGTGCCCGGCCCAGAGCAGTGCGGAAGGAGCGGACTCCTGAGTTGTTGTCCTGCTTGCCGTTGACCGGGCCCTGCCACCTGCTTCCTCTGCAGACGTTCGTGAATGACGTGCGCATCCCGGACCAGAAGTACGTCACGCTGAAGCTCCATGACGTCATCCGGTTCGGCTATGATATCCTTTCCGGGCCGTGCCCCCTCCTTCTGGCCCAGGTCGCCCTAGGTTGTCCTGGCCCAGGTTGTCCTGGAAGTGGTAGGGGCCCCAGTGGGCACAGCTGCTCTGTGCTCACGGCCCACGGCCATTAGCCTGGGCTCCGGCCTGACCTGTACCCGCTCTTCCCCAGACGGAGGCCCCGGTCTCAGGGAACTGCTTCCCACCTCCTGGTCTGAGCTGACACAGGGCTCCAGGAACCAGTGCGCTGACCTGGGACCCAGGGGCAAACCGGGGGCTGACCAGGCGTGGCGTTCTGTGCTCAGAGCATGTGTGAGTGAGGGCTGGGCCTCCGCCCTGAGCAGCCTGGTTGCTCTGGGGACCCGCACGCAGCTGGAGCCCACCCTGTCTTCTCCTCTGCCCGCCGCAGCCTGCGCTTGTGTGGGCGTACCCCCCCGGGGGTATGGACACAGCCCCTGGCTGAGCCCTCCCCTCCCCACCTCTAGAACATAGGGAGGCCAGGGCCGAGGGGTGGTCTGGGATGGGAGCCAGGAGCTGTGTGGCCTGGCTCCTGGGCGCATCACCTGCCTGCCCTGCCCTTTGTGGGGGGCGTGTAGAGGGCATGTTCATGGCCCTAGTGGTGGGCGGGGGGAGGGGTGTGCTGGGTTCTGGAATGGGCTGTGTCCTGCGTCTCTGAGTTGGGCAGCCTGGCACGCAGGTCGTTGGTGCAGCGTGGGCACGGACCTGGTGCACAAGCGGCTGTTGGGGGGCAGCACACGCCTCTCCTCTGGGCCGTCTGCTCCCCCGCTGCCCTGCGCCCTTATCCTGGCTCCTCTGCTCTGGGTTTGCCTTAACTCACTGCCACATTCCAACATGTACGTGCTGGAGCGTGTGCAGCACCGGGTCCCCGAGGAGGCGCTCAGGGTCAGTGCCGGCACGCAGCCCAGGGGCTCCTCCCACAAGGCCCCTGCGCCCCACAGCTCTCCCGGGCCAGCACCCTCAGCCTCTTGGCTCCCGTGGCCTGGTGCTGGTGCCATGAGTCAGCCCAGCCTGGTGGGGCCTGTCCTGCCAGACTGGCCAGTCTAGCGGGTGGGGAAGACGGTCACTCCCCCGAGGCTGATGCAGCCGTGGGTGCTGGGCACGGAGAGGGGGCTGCTGTGTGCCTGTACCAGCTGGGGGGGGGGGGGCGCCAAGAGGCATCCTGGGTACCAAGGAGGACCCCAAGCAGTCTACCACAGGTGGTGGCCAGGAACAGGCAGGAGCGGTCAGTATTTGGGGACAGCCCTGTAGGGGGTCCTGGGGTACTCTCAGTCAGGGCTTGAGGGGCCCGGGTGGGGGGCCACGGCAGGCCGGCCATGTCCTCTCCCCTTGCTCGTTTGTGTGGGAGTCTTGGAGCCCTGACTTGGGGGACCCTGCCCATAGCTTTACCCAGGAGCTCCGTGTGGGGGAGACTAGCCCTAGCCCCATCTTTGGAGTGAGCTGTGGGCAGCCTGCCTGGAGTCACCGGTCAGCGTGAGGCCGACTTCTACAACCGCAGGGCTCGACCAGGGGAGCCCGGCATGCACACAGGCGCTCACACAGACGTACACAGACGCACGCGTGCAAACCAACATTCACGTGCACGGTCTCTTGGGGTAGACCGCTGCTCCCCACTTCCCGTGCCCTGGGGCCCATCCCTCCCCTCTCTCTGGTGGGTCCTGGGCGAGGTGTCACCTCTGATGATTGCCGCCCGCCCCTGCCTCCCTGGAAGCTTCCTGGTCTCGAGGACCCCCCAGGCTTGGGCAAGGACCCCCGGTTTCCACCTCAGGCTGTCAATTCCATGGGGTTCAGTAAGGAGAGCTCGTGCGTGGGGCCAGTTCCTGCCCCCTCTGGACTCAGAGGGAGGCAGGCTGCCCTGAGCGTCTCCAGAGCTGGACCCCACCCTCACCCCCTCACCCCCTCATCCCCGCCTCGCTGCCCGCAGCACGAGAAGTACACTAGCCAGCTGCAGGTGAGCGTCAAGAGCCCGGCACCCAGGAAGGGCGAGGCACTGCCCCAGCACACCCCCTACTGCGAGTCCTCGAGCCCCAGGCCGGAGAGGGCGGACCGGAGGCCGGGAGCAGGTAGGGCAGCCCCGAGGCGCACAGGCCGGCCCCCCCACGGGTCTGCCCCATCCGGATGACCCTCCCCTCCCAGCACGGACCCTTGCCCTGTCTCCCAGCCTCCTGGGCCCACTCCACCAGCAGCAGCCATGGCACAGACCTGCTCTGTGTGAGCTCAGGCACCTGTGTGTCCCCCACCCACGCCCCCCTGGGTGCACTGCACCCCCCGTGCCCCGTGTGGTCCGGTCAGTCTGTAGTGGGCTCAGCCTTCAGGGCCCCCTTTGTGGCCTGAGTCACTTCCAGAGCCTCGGAGAGACTGTCCCTGGGTATGGACTCCTGTCCTCCTGACCTTCTGACAGGCAGGCCCTGGGGAGCCCGGAGCTGGGCTGGAGGGGGTGCCTGCCCCTCAGGGAGGCCCGGGCGGGGCTGGGGGAAGCCAGTGTCCTGGACTCCCTGCGACTGTCCCCCACTGCGGATGCAGAACAGGGCTCAGAGCGGTCACGTTGAAGCAGTCAAGGCAGGGTCCTGGGCAGCCGCAGGTCTGAGACGGGAGCTGATGCCGGGACCCCTCCAGAGGCCAGCGTCTCCCCCGGCTCCGGGTCTCCCTCCTTGTCTGTGTTGGCGCCACAGTGACTCAGGGTGGGACTGTCCTCCCTCTGCAGAGGCAGCGGCCTACCGGACCCCTCTGTACGGACAGCCCTCCTGGTGGGGCGAGGATGAGGGCGACAGTCCGTGTGAGGACCGGCGCCCGGAGGAGCCCGACCCAGGTGGGTCCCCGGAAGCCCCGGAGGTGCCTGCTCTGGGGGAGACGGCGGTTTTGGCAGACACGGGTGGGGTGAGGATGCTACCCTGCAGCCCCAAGGACGTGTTTTCTCCCCCCACCGACGTAGAGCGGCCCAAGGAGCCGTCGCAGCAGGACAGGGAGCTGGCCGGGACAATGGCCGGCTTCCGGGCTGCAGCGGAGCCTCCCAGCTACGCGTTCAGGCGGGAGCCCAGTTACTTCGAGATCCCCACGAAGGAGGCCCCGCCGCCACGGCCCCCCGAGGCGCCGGTGCAGGAGGCCCCCACCAAGGACGTGGAGCCCGGTGTGGCCGGTGCAGCCCCCGTGGTACAGAGCCACGCCTCCTTCACCATCGAGTTTGATGACGGCAGCCCCGGCAAGGTTAAGATCAAGGACCACGTCACCAAGTTCTCCCTGCGCCAGAGGAGGCCGCCCGGCAGGGAGGCCACGCCTGCGGAGGCCGTGTCCGCGGAGACCAAGGTGGCCGACTGGCTGGTGCACAATGACCCCAGCCTGCTCTGCCGGGCCGGCCCCGGTGACGACCGTCACAGCACCAAGAGTGACCTGCCCGTGCACACCCGCACCCTCAAGGGTGAGTGCCGACCGGCTGGCCCACCACGGGCCCCGCGACCGCCCCGCGGCCCCCTCGCCTCCCTGGGGGCGCCCCAGTCAGGTTGGTTGATGTCCCGTGCGTAGGCGATTGTGCTGGACTCGCCTCGCACTCGGGGCCGTCCAGCGCGTTTCGGCTGCTCGTCTCGGCCGTGTGGGGTGGGGTGTGGGGCGCTGTGTCCCCGAGCACCTGTGACAGCTGGGGATCCCCCCACTCCCAGGCCACAAGCACGAGGACGGCACACAGAGCGACTCGGAGGACCCCACGGCCAAGGCGGCGGCGGCCGGGGTCCCCGCGGAGGGCGGCGGGGCGCAGGTGCGGCTGCAGAGGCAGCTGAAGCGGGACCCCCAGGAGCTGCTGCACAACCAGCAGGCCTTCGTCATCGAGTTCTTCGACCAGGACGCGCCCCGCAAGAAGCGCTCCCAGTCTTTCACGCACACCCCTGCCGGGGACCCCAAGGCCGACAAGCGCCGAGGCCCCGGGCCGGCCGAGAGGGACCGCCCCGGCGCCCCGGCCCCGGCGCGGGGGACGGGCGGCAGCTCGGGGCCACAGCGGGCCAGCTCGCTCAAGCGGGAGAGGACAGAGGAGCGGCTGGGGGGGTCCTCGCCCGCCCCCCGGGCCTCCCCGCGGCCCTTCGGCAGTGTGGGGCGCCGTTCCCGTCTGGCCCAGGACTTCATGGCTCAGTGCCCGTGGGACGGCTCTCCTGCCGCCCGGCCCGGCCCTGACAAGGCATCCCCGGAGTCGCCTGCCCCTGAGACCCCCCGTGGGGCCAGCCCCGTGGCCCCTGCGACCCCGCCGCCACCCCCCGCTGACCCCCAGCTGACCAAGGCTCGGAAGCAGGACGAGGACGACAGCCTGAGCGACGCGGGGACTTACACCATCGAGACGGACGTGCAGGATCCGGAGGTGGAGGAGGCCCGCCAGATGATTGACCAGGTCTGCACGGCAGGGGCGTGGGGGCCCGGCCGGGAGGGGATGGGCGGTCGGTGGGCTGGCGCTGACCCGGGCCTGGCCGTCCCTCCCGGCAGGTCTTTGGGGTACTTGAGTCTCCCGAGCTCTCCAGGGTGTCCTCGGCCACCTTTCGTCCGGTCATCCGAGGGGACAGAGATGCGGCCGGTGACGGGGTGGCCCAGCGCATGGCCCTCCTGCAGGAGTTTGCCTCCCGGCCAGTGGGCATAGACTCCCAAGGGGGGCTCCAGGTATGTGGGACACACACTGCTCCGGGGAGGGGCCGGGCGAGGGAGGCCGGCAGCCAGGCTGGGGCCCCGCCCTCGGGTCCTGTACGCACTCGAGGGTTGTGGCCTGGACTGCGCGGCGTTCCAGCCCCTCTGCGAGGCCGGGTGGAACCTTCTGTGAGTGGCCCGCCTGGCGGCTGGGCGGGGGGGCCCCTGTGTGGAGGGCTCAAGGGCAGGCCCTGGGGCTCTGAGTCAGGTGGGGCCCCTGGGTACGCCTGTGCCCACGGGCAGGGCTGGCCTGAGTCACAGCTGCTGACCTCCGGGCCGTCAAACTGGGCTCGGACCAGGTAGTTACGTTGGCAGTTGCGTGGGACTCCCGCAAGCCCAGGGGAGCGCGAGGGGTCGCCTGGCTGCCTCTGACGGAGGAGTGTGCCGCAGGTGCAGGGATGGCGCGTTTGGGCCAGGTGGGGGGGGGGGGGGAGCTGCCCCGCTGCCCCCGCCCCTCCTTGCTGCAGACACAGCTTGCCCTTCGCTCCGCAGGGCCTCACGGTGCCGGGCTCCCCCGGGGGTCAGAAGTGGGTGTCCCGCTGGGCCAGCCTGGCTGATAGCTACTCAGACCCAGGCCTGGCAGGTAAGTGGTTCTGGCCCAGCAGAGGGGTGGGGGATGGAGGGGGAGGGGGGGGAGGGGTGGTCTCAGGCCCTCGTGCTGGACACTCGGGTGCGCGTGCGTGCCGGCTGTCTGGGGGAAGGCCGGGCTTCCGGCGCTCCTGAGGGCCTACAGGCGTGTGGCCACTCCAACCAGGTCGCCCCTGTCTTTGCAGAGGAGGGCCCTGGGCGCAGAGCTGGGGAGCTCGAGGGGGCTCTGCCCGTGCGCCAGCGACGGCTACTCCCACAGCTGCCCGGCGACAGGGCAGACAGCCCTGGGGGCCTTGAGGCCACCAGGAGGAGCGGCCCCGGGCCTCCGGAGCTGGGCAGTGAGCAGGCCAGCTGCCTCTTGGGCCAGGAGGACTTGGAGCCCGACAGCCTCAGCGATGCCAGTGGGTCGGATGGTGGGCGGGGCTCCGAGCTGGGCGGGGCCCCGCGTGAGGAGAGACGCAGGAGCCCCCAGGAGGGTCCCGCGTGGACGAAGGGCCGGCGCTCGCCAAGGGCCCCCGGGGAGCCAGCCCCTACCTCTTTCTTCATTGGGGACCAGAACGGGGAGGCAGCCTTCCCCAGGAAACCATCGGTGGCTCCGGGGGAGGCGGAGGGCCCAGGACGGGTGGCCCAGGCCAGCCCCCCGGTGAGGGACGGCGTCTACGTGAGCACCAGCGGGAGGATGGTCATCCAGCTGCGGACAGGGCGGTCCCCGGAGCCCGAGGGCTCTGCCCCGGCCTTGGTGCGGCAGGAGAGCTTCAGCAAGGAGCCGGCCGCTGGCCCCCCGGCGCCTGGCCAGCTTCCACACATCTCCAGCCACCCCCTCCTGCAGGACCTGGCCGCGGCCCGGGCCTCACGCACAGACCTCCACCCTCAGGACACCCACCTGATTCTGAAGGAGACGGAGACGGCCCTGGCAGCCCTGGAGGCCCGACTGCTTTCCAAGCCCACGGACGAGGCCGAGGGCCAGATGGGCAGTGCCCCTGGGCCGCCGGACGACTCTCTGTCTGGGGACTCTGATGTGGACACGGCTAGCACTGTGAGCTTGCTCAGCGGTAAGAACGGGCCCAGCCCGACCGGCGCCCAGCCCACGGGGCTGCAGAAGGACAAGCCGCCGTCCCCGCCGGCAACACAGGACCTGGGGACCGTCTCCTTGAACAGTGCCCGGGACCGGCTGTCAGAGAAGCGTCGCCCGCCGGGCCCTACCGACGCGAGGCGTGTGTCTGCGCGGCGTGGCCCTGGGCCCCGGGTGCCCTCGGACTGGCCTGATGAAGAACGAGGCTCGGGCCCGGCCCACCCGCCTGGCACGGACACGGTCACCTGTGACCACGAGCCCCCCGCGGCCAGCGGGGCAGGGCGGCCAGGGCCTCGCCGGAAGCCTGCGGCCCCACCGCCGTCTCCAGCCACCCGGGAGGAGCCGGGCCGAGGCCCCACGGGCTCCCAGAAGGCACAGCAGGTGCTGACCCGCTCCAACAGCCTGTCCACCCCCCGGCCCACGCGGGCCTCCCGGCTGAGGCGGGCCCGGCTGGGGGATGCCTCGGACACGGAGGCTGCAGATGGGGAACGGGGGCCCCCAGCCAACCTGGAGCCAGTGGGCCGGCCGGCTGCCGAGCAGGCCAAGAAGTTGTCACGCCTGGACATCCTGGCCATGCCGCGGAAGCGGGCCGGGTCCTTCACGGGGCCCGGCGACTCGGAGGCGGCCCCCGCCCGGGGCGGCTTCTCCGGCCGCAGCGTCGAGCTGTACTGCGCTGTCCGCAAGCCCGTCATGGCCGAGGCGCGGGCCGCTGCCCGGAAGGCCGCCAGTTCCACCACGGTGCCCCGCCAGCCCTTCAGCAGGGCCCGCCCGGGCAGCGCCCGATACTCCTCGCCCAGTGAGTGCCGGGGGCAGCCAGCCTGGGCGGTGGGTTCCTGTGCTGGCCTGGCGCAGGGCTGCGGGGTCCCGGTTCCAGCCCGCGGGGAGCCCCCGCTCCCGCAAGCAGGCGTGTCTCCACAGACGCGCGCGAGTGCCGCGGGAGGCCCAGGCCGCAGGGGGGGCGGGGCTCTCGCTGACCCCGGGGGGGGGGGGGGGACCCGCGTGGCTGCGGACAGCCGGCCGGGCTGCTCGCTCTTCCCTGGCGCTCTGGGCTGGCATCCGGCTCACGAGGTACAGGCAGAGGCCCGAGCCGTGCCCCGGGGCCCGGGGAGGGTGTCTTCCCTGGACGCCCACAAAGCCCGCGGCGGGGGAGGGCCGTGTCCATCTCCCACGCACCCCTGGGCAGAGGCCCCGGGCTGCCCGCGGTCTGTGCGCATGCACGGCGAGGACAGACGGGGCCGTGGCGGCTGGCGCTGGTCTCCCGCCCGGGGGTGGCCCGATGTCTTGCCCTCTGGGGAGCCCGTCCCCCAAGCAAACTGAAGGGTGGGCTCTCTGGCCCAGCTCCTCGAAGCTCCTGTGCCTCCCGCAGCTGCAGAAGCAGGGCGCCCCTGCTTTCTGGTCCCGGGCCGTGGGGGCCTCCACCCCCGCTGGGGGCAAGGGGTGCCGAGGGCCGGGCTCCACTGGAGGACGAAGCGGGGTCAGTGTGGTCTGGGGTCGGGGACCCACTGCCCGTCCCCGTGTTTTCCCTCTGAGTGCGTTTGCCGCCGCCGTGGGGAGTCAGGTCTGAGACCAGGGAGGGGCTGGGGCTGATCTGCGTGGAGAGTTTCGCCCCGATTTGGGGTCTCCGTGGGTCCCATTTCCTGCCGCTGAGGGCGCTGGCCTCCCCATGGGACGCGCAGCTGCCCGGGGCCGATCAGCTCCAGCCGTGGAGGCGCCGGGCTGCCCTCCCCCCGTCGGCTTCTCGGCCGGCGGTGGCCTGTCCCGCGGTGCCGGGCCCTCGCCCAGAGGGGCCTGGGCTGCCGCAGCGTGCTGAGTGCTGCTCTGTTCTGTTCTTGTTCCTGGAACGGATGCACGCGCCCAGGCACACGCCGACGGCAGCAGGGCTCAGACTGCACGTCCACGTCCGAGGAGGAGTACGGCTCCCCCAAACACGCACGCGCCCGCACCTCGGCAGCCACGCAGACCCCGCGGGCCGGCAGCTCCGGCCGGACCCGACCCCGGGCCCCCGGCCTCCGGGACACGGACGACGACGAGGAGGAGGATCCCGACCCCTACGGTTTTATCGTGCAGACGGCAGAGATCGCGGAGATTGCCAGGTGAGCCGTCCATGCAGAGGGCGCCCCTCCGCCCTGGCAGGGCAGGGCAGGGCAGGGCAGGCCTGGGCTTCGGGCTCTCTTCCCAGACGGGCTCCGCGGCCGCTTGTCGGACGGATGGTTCGCGGACGATCGCGTGTGGACGGGTGGGCGGGTGTGGGACCTCCGGGCTGAGGAAGGACTCCGCCGTGGTTGTTGAAGATGAACTCTCTTGTGTGGTCATTTGCCGGGTCACCTCTGGCCGGGTGCTGGGAAGGACGGTGCAGACGTGGGGGGCTGTTGCTGGGGAGCGGCCGTTGGCTGAGCACCGCAGGGCTCACGGCAGGGCAGGAGCCTGGGCCTGGGCTAACGGTGAGTGTTTGGTGCTGAGGATGCTAAGCTTGAGCCCGTGAGGCTCCTAGAAAGAGGTGACCAGAGGCAGGTGGTTCCCTGGAGAACAGCCCGTGTGGGCGTGGAGACACAGGGCTGGTGACGGAGGCCGTGGAGACTCGAGGTGGAGCAGAGAGGACCTGCCAGGCATGGAGAGAAGGGGACCAGGAACCGAGCTCCCAAGACACTGGGGGAGGGGGCGGTGCCTGTGCGCTGGGGTGGTGAGTGAGGGTTCTGGAAGGAGATACTTCACCCGGAGGAGGGAGGCGAGCAGGGTGCAGAGGAGAGAGGATGGGGAGTGGAGGGCCCTTGGGGGCTTTGGAGGCCTCTGCTTCCAGAGTGAGCAAGCTTGAGCATCTGATATGCTGGGGGCCAGAGAGAGGAGACGGGTCTGGGGCAGGGGGCCGCGGGCACTGAGTCGGACATGCGGGGTGGGGGGAGTCGGGCACTGAGGCAGGAGCACGTGGGGCAGGGTGGAGGGTCGGGCACTGAGGCAGGGGTACACGGGGCAGGGGGGGAGTCGGGCACTGAGGCAGGAGCACGTGCTGGTTTGGTGCTGTTGTGAATTTGAGGGGCTTCTTCTGTGTTTTCTGGACGTAGGGAGGGTGGGGCCCAGTTGGGGGAGACTCCTCTTGAGGGGACCTAGGTCAGTCTTGCTGGGGAGGGAGGGGCCGGCCAGGATGGTTTCCTCCAGCTGTGACTAGCATTTCTGGGGGCTGGGCTCAGCGGCCCCGCCAGGCAGGGAGTGGATGGGCCCTGGGGGCCGGCTGGGAGGTGCCCTGGGTGGTGCTGAGACCGCTAAGGGCGGAGACCTGGTCCTCGGTGGGCTTGGAAGCCCCGTCCCTGTCCCTTGGGCGACCGCAGGCATTGACGGGAGGAAGCTGGGCGGGGTGGGCCTTGTGCCCCTGCGGTGAGGGGGGATGGTGGGGGACAGTGACAAGGGGCTCCAGTGCCTCAAGCCTGGGTCGGGGGCTCCGGTGGCACATGATCTGCTGGCTGTGGAACCCGATGAGCTTCGGGGACAGGGCACAGAGGCTGCAGGCTGGGCCTGGGGACCTCGCAGGCAGTAGGGGCAGAAGCCGTCCCCAGTCCCCGGGGGCTCGAGGGGACGCACGTCATCGCCTGTGCAGGGCGCGGGTGAGGCCAGGCTGATGCTGGGGGCTTAGCCTCCCTCGGCCTCCCTGCCTCCCCTGCAGGCAGGTGCCCGGTCTCTGCCTGCCTCTGTCAGCCTTTGCCTGATTCTGATCGTGGTCTGTGACCCCTCCCCCACCTCGGTGTCCCCGCCTGCGGAGGAGGGCTCGTGTGGCCACACGTTCTGTGGCAGCCCTGATGCCCGGACCTGGTGGCCGGAGGAGGAGAGGGTGTGTGTGGCTCGCCCTGGAGCCCTTCCCACCTGGCCCTGCCGGGCCCAGCTCCGGCCACCCCTCAGGGGGCACTGGGGCCTTGAGCCTCCGGACGGGGCCCTGCCAACTCTGACGTTGCCGATGGCCGCTGGGGCACAGTCTGGGCCAGGCTGCGGGCCGCCTGCCCCTCACCGGCACTTGTCCCTTGGGAGGGGCTCCTGCCTGCACCTGAGAGGGGGAGGTCTGCCTGGGGACGGGCACCGGGTTCTGTCAGCCTCCTGCTCCCCGACCTCCCAACACCGGCCCCCAGCCCGGAGGACCCCACGGCACCTGCCTTCTTCCCTGCTCCCGCAGGCTGAGCCAGACGCTAGTGAAGGACGTGGCCATCCTGGCCCGGGAGATCCATGACGTGGCTGGGGACGGCGACTCGTTGGGCTCACCGGGGCCCGCCCGTAGCCCCTCCCTCAGCAACGTGCCCAGCACCCCTGCCTCAACCATCTCCGCCCGTGAGGAGGTGAGCCCAGCCCCACCCCCGCTCCCCGAGCCGTGAGGTCCAGGCAGGCCGTGTCCGGCCTCCCCCCGCCCTGCGGCAGCTTCCGGCACACCTTGGCAGAGGGCGGACAGTCACCAAGGCTGCGCGTCCTCCGCTCGGCTCCCCGAACAGCTGCCTTGGGGGCAGGGGCGTCCAGGAGCCCTGAGCGCCCAGGGCGTGGGGTCGGCTGTCTCCTCGCTGTCGTAGCAGGGAGGCGCGAGTGCCCGCACCTGCTGGCGGGCGGCCCCCGAGGTGCGCTGACGCAGCCCTGCCCTGTCTGCAGCTGGTGCAACGAATCCCTGAGGCCAGCCTCAACTTCCAGAAGGTGCCACCTGGCCCCCTGAGCTCTCGGGACTTGGACCAGAATATGAACGACCGCTGTGAGGACCCCCTCGCCAACAAGATGCGGCCTTGGAACCGTGAGGAGGCAGGCGCCCCCCCCCCCCCCCCCGCCTCCCTCCCCTGCAGACAGCTGGCCTGGCTGCACACAGGGGTCCCTCTGGCCAGGGGTAGGGTGTGCCCACGGCTCCCGGGCACCGCACTGACACCGGGTCCTCGCAGGTGATCTTTGACAACCTGATGCTCAACCCCGTGTCCCAGCTGTCCCACGCCATCCGAGAGAACACGGAGCACCTGGCCGAGAAGATGAAGTGAGTAGGGCCAGCGGGCTCCACAGGCCCCTCGGACACACACACGCACGCGTCAGCCAGGGCCTGCCGGGGCCACACACGCACACACACCCCCGGCCCCCGGCCGCCAGGCCCCCAGCTTGCGGTAGGCAGAGCCCCCAGGGCGACCCCCAGCCCTCCCTACGTGAGGCGGGGACGGGGGCTCTGGCACCAGCCAGGCCCAGGCCCTCCTCCGGGCCTCAGTTTCCCCTCGGGCACGGGAGAGGTGTGGTGGGTGGGGTGGCCTGGGAGCCTGTGGGTCTAGGCTTCGGTCCTCACTGTCCTCGGCCCGTCCCCGTCCCGCTCCCACCCCTGGGCGGCAGGATCCTCTTTCAGAACACAGGGCGTGCCTGGGAGGAGCTGGAAGCCAGGATCAACTCGGAGAACGAGGTGCCCATCCTGAAGACGTCCAACAAGGTGGGCGCCGGCCCCGTCCCCCGGCCACCTGGCCCCGGGGAGTGGGGGGCTCCGGCCACAGACCTGGGGGAGAGGCAACCCCTTGGCGGTCCCGTCCCATCTCCCCCTGCTCGCTCGCTTCCAGGAAATCAGCTCCATCCTGAAAGAACTGAGGCGTGTACAGAAGCAGCTGGAAGGTGGGTGTGGCCAGGCGCGGGTGGGAGGTGGCGGGGGGGACCCACACTGGTGCTGCTGCCCCCCACCCCCACGCAGGGTCCTTGCTGGGAGACCAGATGCACTGCCCACCGTTAGCCGGCTGGGAGGCCCCGGGGTGGGACCCTCGGGCTGGCCTAACGCTCCCGCCCCCGCAGTCATCAACGCCATCGTGGACCCCGGCGGGAATCTGGACCTGCTGACCGGAAACCGGGGCGCCGCGGGCTTGGCCCAGCTGGGGAAAGGCCGGCCGGCCGCCCAGAGCCCAGCCTCGCCCCCCTTGGCCCTGCCTCTGAGGAGCTGCCCGCCGCGGGCGAACTGCGGGTCCCCCGGCCTCCCGGACCCCGCCTTCCTCCCCGACTTCCTCCCTGACGCGGAGAGGTTCCTGATCTAGGCGGTGGGGGCCGCGGCGGTCCCCTGTGCCCCCGGGGCCGGCGCCACCAGCCTCCTTTACCCGCCACTGCGGCCCTTCCCGGCTGCGGACGGTTCACGCGGAGCCCCCCGCACGTGCCATAACCCCTGGGCAGGGGCCTCGGTTCCCCGGGCCCCTCCCTAGCTCCCAGCAGCACCCCAGCTGGACGGGCCGGCCCGGCCCGGCTCCCGTTGCGGCCACCGCTGAGGCCCGCGTCACAGGTGTGTCCCCTGCCTCCTCTCCACGCTGTCCTTTTTGTCTTTAGCTTTTGAGGAAAGAGTCGTCTGTGCCATCGCAGCGGCTCCCTGGGCCCGGGAGGCCCCTCCCCTGCCTCTGGCGCCGGGGGCTGCTGTTCTGTCGGAGGCCCCGGGCGCCGGCCGCGGTTGGGCCGGAGGGTGCCATTCAGTGCCAAACACAGAGCCGGGAGGGGCTGGCAGTACTCCGGGACTGGAGGCCGGGGCGCACCTGGCCGGGGCCCTCACGGGCAGCTCTGCGGCCCAGTGGCCTGGGGCGGGGACGTGGCCCGCGGAGACGTTCGGGGCGGGAACCCCACTTCTTTGGTGCCAACGCAACTGCCAAGCCCACCGAGTGTGTGGCTGCTGCCACGCCGGCCGTGCACACGGGCACACACGCATGCCAGACACGCGCCCGCGCTCCCGGCCAGCCCAGGCACGTGTCCACACTGCAGGGCGGTCGGTCCCAGCTCGGGACGCTGGCCGCACTCGGCTTCCTGCGGTTCTAGGCCGGGGGGGGGGGGGGGGGGGGTGGTGAGCACTAGACCCAAGTGGCTGGAAACCGGAGCCTCCCGGGGCCGCCCGCCCTCCCCCACCCTCACCCCTGTCCTCCCTGATGCTGTGGGCATTACCTGGGTGTCTGGCTCGGGGCCCCGCAGGCTGCTGTGCTCTGGTCCCGGTGCAGGGGTGGGGCGGGGAGAGCAGGGAGAGACACCCCCCCCTCCCCATCCCAGGGACAGTTTGCCTTCTCAGGGTTCTTTCAGCTGGGAACACGCCGGGGGGGGGGGGGCAGAGCACGCCCCCCAGGGGGGCCCGTTTCTGGAGCCTCTAAGCCAAAGAGCCCGCGGGCTGTGGCAGGTGGGGGCGGGGCTGGCCCACCCTGGCCGCCGTGGCGCGGGGTCGCCGTGCACCCTGCCTGGCGCCTGTGTGAGTGGCGGTTGCGGGACGGGGCCCGGAGGCCAGTGGGTGTGAGTCCGGGCCCCATGGGTGACGTGTGTGTCCGTGTTTACATTTAGCTGATGTGGACTAGTGTGCATGGGTCCTGTACGCCCCCCCCCCCCCCCGTTTCTGTGTGCGAGTGGTGGCGGGGTCCCTGCCAGGACCCCGCCCCTCGAGCCTGCTGGTCCACACGGAGGAGGTGCCGGCCCGCTGTCTCCTGCATGCCCCACACAGTCGCCCGCAGCCCGTCCCCTGGAAGCAAACAGTGGCCGTTCTCCATCCACACCCACCCTCAGTGATCGTTGTACGCTTTTTTTTATTCACAAATTCCTGTTCCTCCCCCTTCCAGCCTTCGACTCGGGATCGGTAACTTATTTGTCTGGCTTCTTGGAGGTACTTCTGTCTGTCTGTCCTCAGGTGGTCTTACGGCTGTCTTTCGGAAAACGATTATTTTATATGAGTTGTCATGGAATTTGTTCTAATAAATCATTCTATCACATGGCGAGGTCCCGGCGTCCCTTGCCTCGGCCTCCTCTCTCCTCCGTTGGAGTTTGGCCTGGGGATGCCTGGCCCCAGGGGTCTCCATTCATTGGCCGGAAAATCCCATTTGACCCCCAAGACCAGGGATGCGGCAGTGCAGAGACATTGCCAGCAGGGGGCGGTGTAGGCGAGAAAGCAAAGCCTAGAAATTTCGCATTTGCTCCTCCAGAGAAGAGTTCTCATTTTATCCCAGCCGTTGAAGGACGCGCCGACCAGCAGCGCTCTAAAATAGGCCTGCTGTGGACAAGTAGCGGGGGGGGGGGGGGGCACGGCGCTGAGTACTGAGCCTCGGTTTCTCCCAATTCCTTCACCCTTTCTGTGGCTTTGGAGCGATCGCTGACCTCACGCCGCAGCTGTGGTGGTGTCGTGCCACCCGGTGCCTGGAGCCCTGGGTCTTCCCACCCAGGGGACCACATCCCCCAACTCTGCCGCAGGGTGGACCCAGAGGAGATGGGCAGTTGGGCTGGAGAGCGTCCAGCCTGCCGTCAGCCCACACTGCTGGCTGCAACAGAGACCGATCACCAGGTCGCTCGACCACGGCACAGGAACCACTTGTACCCCACTGCTCCCCCACCAGCGCTGTTCCCCACGTCAGCTCCCTTCCCACGTTAGCTCCGTTCCCCCCTTAGCTCTGTTCCCACACCAGCTCTGTTCCCCACACAGATCTGAAATGAATAATACATTGAATGGTATTATAGCCGGGAGACACTGCAGAAGAAAAGACTGCTCATCTAGAAAATATAAACAGGAGAAATTACCCAAAATGAAGCACAGAGAAAAGGCTTTAACAAAAATGAAAAAAATTAAATTACAAAAATAAACAGCAGCACTGATAAATGGCACAATAGCGAGAAGTCCGACACACATGTAGTTGGGGTCCCAGGAAAAGCGTGGAGAAGAAAATGTCCAAAGAAATGACAGCAAAAGATGCCTAGACTGCATACGAGCTAGAAACTGATGGATGTGATAAGAACCCCAAGGCGGGCGCAAGCGAAGGTGATCACCAAAGTGCATCGCAAGTCAACAGCTGAGACTCAGTGACAGGGAAGGACTGAAAAGCAGGCAGTGACTCATTCTGGAAAGGCAGGACTACGAAGACAGTAAGAGGCTCCGTGGTTTCCGGGGGGCTGGCGCCGCGGAGGGAGGGACCGGGCGCGGCCAGTGCAGGCCCTGATAGCAGATGGGTACATGTCGTTGTACCCTGGCCCAGACCCAGGGCGTGCGCGCGGACTGAGCCCTCCTGTAAACACAGGCCCCGGCGATGATGACAGGTCACCGTAGCTTCCTCCAGGGCACTCACGTCCCACTGTGGTGGGGACGCCGACGGCACAGGGGGCTTGCGTAGTGCAGGTGGGAAATCACTGTCCTCTCCCCACTGTTTTACCGTGAGCCTAACATTGCTCAAAAAAGTAAAGTCTTAATAAAAAATTAAATTTTAAGAGATTTATTACAGGGGCACTCGGGGGGCTCAGTCAGTTAAGCGTCCGTCTTCGGTTCAGGTCATGATCTCATGGTTCGTGGGTTCGAGCCCCGAATTAGGCTCTGGGGGGACAGCGCAGAGCCTTCTCGGGATTCTCTCTCTCCCTCCCTCCGTCCCTCCCCCCACCCCCACTTTGTCTCTCTCTAAAAAAACAAACTTAAAATCACTTAAAAAAAAGATGTATGACATGTAGAGGAACAAAGATAAGGATCTCATCAGACTTCTAATCCAAATGTCAAAGGTACAACATAACATCTAGAAGGTGAAATAAAATTGTGACTTTGGGGTTACAAAGATTTCTTAAATAGGACACAAGAATCAGTAGCTACAGGAAGTTTTTTAAAAAATACTTATTTATTAGTTTTGAGAGAGACAGCGCAAGCAGCAGAGGGGCAGAGAGGGAGACGGAGAGAGAGAGTCCTAAGCAGGTTCCGCTCTGCCAGCGCAAAGCCTAACGTAGGGCTCGATCCCATGAACCGTGAGACCATGACCTGAGCAGAAATCAAGGGTCAGACATTTACCTGACTAAGCCCCCCAGGCGCCACCCCCCAAGGGAAGTTTTTCTTAAACTGGGCTAGCTCAGCTAAGAACACTTATTCATCCAAAGATCCCTCTAAGTGTGAAAAGGAACGATATTACCTATAACGAGATTCAGCAAGTAATCCGTATCCAAAATACATGGGTCCTATAAGTAGAGACAACAAGACAGACAACGCAATAAAAAATGGTCAAAAGAGCTGAGCGGGTGCTGTACGTGAGGAGCTCAGGGGGTCGGAGAACTGTGTGAAAAGAGGTGCCACCTCGTCTGTCATCAGAGAAGCGCAAGGTAAAGCCATGATGAGACAGCACAGCACGACCAGCAGAGCTGAAGCGAGGGTCCCTGTCAAGGCTGGGGAGAGTGGAACAGCTTGACAATCTTGGAAAAAACTCAGCACTAGTTACTAAAGCTACCCAATGCCTACCCATGACCCAGCAACTCTCCTGGGTCTACACCCAAGGGAAACAGTGCGGTGATCCCCAAAAGACATCATGAGAACGCCCACAGCAGCCTCACTCATAAGCAGCTAAAAGCGACCTCCGTGGCCATCAGGAATGGAATGGATCAGTAACTTCTGGTATGTTCACGCACTGAATAGTACACCGTGACGAAACGGAACCTCACACGTTGTGATGAATCCGCACACACAACCAAGACAAAGGAAGCCAGGTGCCAAATCTATGCGCTGTGTCGTTTTGAAAATAAGGAAAACTAAGCCGTGGCCGTGGAAGTCAACACCAGTACTCTTGGAGGGAGGTATTGGCCAAGGAGGGCTTGAGGTAACGTCCTCTGTCCTGATTTCTGTGGTGGTTACACAGGTACATGTATACAAAAAAATCCATTGAGTCACGCACCTGAATATCTATGCCCTCCACACGGGTACCTTTTACTGCAATAAGGATTCAAAAAACTGATGATGGAAAGTGAATGTATTGACACAAAATTGCTCATAATATTTGCTTGTCATCTTTTTAGGGTCTGAGGGTCTGTTTCTGTGCTTTTTCATTTTCACCCCAAATAGTGGTGATTCACACCTTCTCTCTCTCTTGCTCAGTCTTGCTGGGGTCTACCCACTTTATTTTTCCTTCTGTAGAGCCAACTGCTTGGGTGGGTTCGTCAATTTTCTCTATGATACATTTGTTTTTTGTTGCATCAGTTTTGCTCTTATTCTGTATTTTATGCTTATTGTTAGTTTTCCCCTCTCTTCCCTATTTTAAGCTTTCTTTCCTCCCCTTTCCTTTCTTTCTTTCTTTCTTTTTTTTTTCAACGTTTATTTATTTTTGGGACAGAGAGAGACAGAGCATGAACGGGGGAGGGGCAGAGAGAGAGGGAGACACAGAATCGGAAACAGGCTCCAGGCTCTGAGCCATCAGCCCAGAGCCCGACGCGGGGCTCGAACTCACGGACCGCGAGATCATGACCTGGCTGAAGTCGGACGCTTAACCGACTGCGCCACCCAGGTGCCCCATCTTTCTTTATTTTGTGAGATGGATCATCATTGATTTTCAGCTTTCCTTCTTTTCTGATATATGGATTTCAGGCTACAAATTTCCTTCAAAAGACAACTTTAGCTGATCCCGTGAAGTTGGATATATTGTATTTTCATTGTCATTTGGGTGAAACAATTTTTAGTGTTCATTAAGATTTCTTCCTTGGCCCGTGAGTTATTCAGATATGTGTTGCTAAATTATCAAACATTTGAGGATTTTCCATTATTCTTTTGTAATTGATTTCTAGCCTATTTCCACTGTGGTCTGAATATATATTTTGAATTATTTCGATCATTGGAAAGGTATAGAGTATGCTTTTTCATCCAGAATATGGATAGTTGTGATAAATGTTTCATGCGCCTTTGAAAAGAATATATATACTTCCATATATTTTCTGTCTTTTATCAGTTTGATCAGCTTTATTTTCAAATATATCCATTAATGTTTTGTCTGCTATTTCACCAGTTGCTCCAAGGGCTGTGTTATAGTCTGCCGTTGTGATTGTGGATTTATCTATTTCTCCTTTCAGTGCCATCAGTATTTCTTTATGTGTTTTGAAGCTATGTTATTAGTTGCGTACAATTTAGTTGCTATATTCCTGGTTGATGAGCCCTTTTATCATCATGAAGTCTTCTTTATCCCGAGTTATTTTTCTTGCCTTAAAGTCTACTTGGTATGATATCTGTATATCTAGCTTTTCTCTGGTTGGTGTTATCATAACATCCTTTTTCATCCTTTTATTTAAACTTTTGTAGATTTTGTCTTACAAAACTCAGTCTGACAATATCTATTTTTTAGTTGGAGTGTTTTTAGTAGATTCCTGGCAATTACCAACATATTTAACTTTAAATCTGCTATGTTATATCTATTATTCCATTTTTCTTCCCTTTTTGTGTTAGGATTAATCAAGTATTCTTTTCCTTCTCCTTCTCCTCTTCCTCCCTCTCCCTCCCTTCCTCCTCCTCCTCCTCTTCTTCTTCCCCATTTGCTTGTTTCCCCATTTGCTTGTTAGTAATACTTTCGTTAGACTCTTAGTAGCTACCCAAACAATTATAAAACCCATCTTTCACTTATTATGGTCTAATGTGAATTGTTCTTTTTACTGCTCCCTGGCAATTACAAAATAATTCACAACTCTAAAATTCAATTATAAAATTTATCTTTCACGTATTAGGACCCAGTGTGAGCTCGCAGTTTTGCTACTTCCTAGACCACATACAGACCTTCCAGCTCTTTAAATCCGTCTGCCTCTCCCACCTATGTGCCGTTACGAGCAGGCATTTTAACTCTGCAAATATTATAAACCCTACAATGAACTGTCTTATTGATTTCTGCAGTCAACATGCCCTAAAGGTACTGACATATTTGCACTCTTCTTTACAGCCGGCATTGCCATGTTCCCACCTGGGGTCATTTTCCAATAGACCGTCACTGAGATTTTTGGTTTTGGTAT